CAAGGGGAAAGGCTTAAAGAGGCTGGATGTAGGCTGCGGTAGGGCTCTAGGTAACTGCCCAGGTGTTACAGGGCTGGCGGCTGCTCGGGGTTTGGGGAACTGACCCTGACCGCTGTCGTCAGCGCCCTGTGCCCCACAACAGCGGTTACCCCTGCCGTGGTGCTGTATTTCTGCTCAATGAACTTGTAAATGCAGTTGAAGACTTAAATCTGTGACAGAAAAATGTATTCTCTGAGCAAGGAGGTGCCTGCCATGTGTGATTATAGTAACTACTCGTGGCTTTGCAGCTTGGTGGGCTGGTGTGTGTTAGCCTCATCTGGATCAAATTAGCACAGCGTTAGGCTGGTCTGACTTTTACAGTTTGCTGGTTTCCTAGAGAAGGAAAAAAGTTAGAATAATTGCAGTTAAAACTCTGCTGGTACATCCAGGGCAGTGGTGAAGAATCAGGGTGCTGTGTGCCCTGCACTGTCTGAGGGTGACTGCTCGGGCAGCTGTGGGCCCTTCTCGCCGGCAAAGATGGGCTGCGGTGTTTCAACAACACCTTCTGCTTGTGAAAGACTAGCCTCATGTGAAAAGAGCCTGCTTTAAACCAGGTGAGAATCAGGCCTTGGTTTGGAGTTACTTAGCTCCATTTGTAATGCAGCGCTTAACTGTGTGATAATATAATGTAATGTTTGTCAAGTGATGCCATGACTGACAGCTGCCCCTGAGCGACTGCTGGTGGCTGATGCTGGCAATAGGTGCCAGCAGCAACTATTTTAATGAAGAATTGCTTGGAATTGCTCTGCTACCTGGAAAGACATTAATTTCTCCACCTACACTGGATGGTACTTCTGCTGTGATTAAGGCAGCTGAGGACTGAATTTTGTTTTTGTTTTTGTTTCTGAGATACTTAAAAATGTACCAGCAGCACAAACTTCCTGCAGTAGTGTTGTTATATTCAAAGAAAACAAGAAAATATTAGAACTAACTACTTCCCAAAAGATTTGTAGTGAGTAAGTTCCATTCTTGTTTGTATTAGCAAAAGTGTGCACAACAGCGTGTTAATTCTGACGCTTGTTTGTTTTTAAAACAAATCATAATTCACCCTAGAACAATCATTTGTGCTGTTCTTCATCATTTTTCTCTACCAAAAAAAACCCTAACCAGGGACAATCTTGAATGATTTCTCCCCCATCCCCCAAGCATACCCTGATAATACCCAAACAAGGAATAGCAAATACTTAATCTGTTTGTGTAAGTCATACTCAAGTTATGACTGTCAAGAAAACACATCTTTTTTTCAGAGAGCAGAACTCCTTCCTCAAGCTTTGCAGGGTTGGGTAACAGCTAACTCAGTGCACTGTAGGGAGAATTTGTTTCCATTATAGCCGTAGAGAGGAAGGCTTGCCTTGGAAAGAATACAGATTTGTTCTTGTAGCCACACAAGAGCTAAAAGGCTGAAGTACTTACCTTACTGCCTACAGTCTGAAAGTTTTTTCCTGTCATCCTCATGAGCCTCATTTCAGAGACGGTGGTGTGTTGACAGCTGCCTCTACATGACACATATTTGTAAACAATCAGCTGGGGCCAGGTGACCCCTCATGAGGCCCTCCTGCTTGTTGTTTAGTTAAGCTCTTGTTCTCTCCCTTATCAGCTTTTTGAAGGGTTTATCACTGCTGTAAAACTTGTTGTAATCCAAAGCCCTTAAGAAATCATTGTTGCATTGAAAAAACAAACAAACCCAGTGGCCCTTGACATTCACAGGATTTCCTGTGTATCATTTTGCTTTCTCTATGTTAGAGGACTCAAAGTTGCGATTTCTGCTTAGGTATCTGAGGCATGGCTGCTGATTGAGGCTGTTGATTTGAACAGCTGAAGAACTAAAGTCAATGATTAATGCAGACATTTCTCCAGAGATTGCCCTAAGGGACGCTGCACAAGTGACATACATAGGTGATTATATTTATCCCTCTGCAGATGAGTCACTTTAGCTGAAACTTAACTGCTCTTTGTTGTAGTTTCCTAGCAGTAGCCAACATTTTCATGCTCAAGCCTTATATGAGGAAATTGGCTCTTTGTTGCACAGGATCCAGTTGCTTCCCACCATCTTGCTCCTGCTTAGAGTTCTACTGTTGAGACAGAGCTAATAAGTCTGAGCGAAGCCGGCTGTCTCTACCTAGAAACACTTAAGTGTGTTTGCACTGTGTTCTCAGTATTTAGATTAAAATACAGATAAACCTGAGCTGGCCTTGCGTGAAGCTGTCCTAGTCCAGGGAAGTTATTTGTTTGGATTCTACTTTGTCCCACAGCTGTAATGAGTCTGACCTGATCATGCATGAGCACAACAGGTCTGGGTTGTGGAAAGAGCAATTAAAAGTAATTAAAAAGTACTTCTATGCAAACATCTCTAGTGCTTCTAAAGCGTCTGATAAAGATAAGCTCACCATTCAGATATAGCAGTGGGAAGCAACATGCCCAGGTTGTGAGAACTGAAGTGAGAGGAGGCTGTGTATCTTGCCATCAGTTGGTAACAGGATAGCAGCAGCAGTAGAATCCAGCTGACATGCTCCCAGCCCGTCTGTTCTCTTTTAGTTCTTGGTCACTGTATTAGTAAAAGCAGCACAGTAAGGGATGGGGTGGGGGAAATCACACATAACCCACAGCTGAGAAAAGACTCTGAAAGACTCTACAAATTTTGTTTGGAAACTGAAACAGATGGAGCTTGGTATTTTCTCTGAGAAAGGTCTTCCTACAAGAGAAGTCTTTCAGAGTTGTTTAATCTTCATTTTATTATTATCAGGAAAACCGTAAGGGATAAAGGATGAGAATACAAAGTTAGGAGCACAGTGTGTGACTGAAACACTTTTCCTTCTACATAAAGTAAAAGCTGATTAAACTTATGCAATTACCTTATGAATGAGTTAAAAAAACAAATCATTTCAAGCTTCAGGAGACAAATCTGCAAGAATATCAGGGTTTTTTGGAAGTACACAGAACATGAAACAACTATAACCTTGTAGTCGTTGCAATGAAAGCATGCAAGACTTTTGAGTTAGTAAGATTAAAGACAAGTAAGTGAACTCTTTTAACACCTTATAGTTTAGTATCATATCAGAAGAGACCATTGCTGTCTAGCGGAATTAACCTGTTTAGAGCTTCCCTTTCACAGGTAATTGTGGATTTGGGGAATGCTGCTAAAAGAAAATAGAAGAAGAGACCATGACGTTTGTTCATCATTTTTGCTTGCTTTTAATCTCTAGGTCATTAACAGTATTTTCTATATCTAGCTGTAGACACAGACCCTTGGAAATATAAATAATATGAATCACAGAATCACAGAATCGTTTAGGTTGGAAGGAACCTCTGGAGACCATCTAGTCCAACCCCCCTGCTCAAGCAGGGGCCTCTAGAGCACGTTACTCAGGATCGTGTCTAGACGGCTTCTGAACATCTCCAGGGAAGGAGACTCCACAACCTCTCTGGGCAACCCGTGCCAGTGCTCTGTCACCCTCACAGGAAAGAAGTTTCTCCTTGTGTTCAGATGGAACTCCCTGTGGTTCAGTTTGTGCCCGGTGCCTCTCGTCCTGTCACTTGGCACCACGGAGAAGAGGCTGGCCTCATCCTCTTGACAACCCCCTCCCTTCAGACACTTGTACACATTGATCAGATTCCCCCCCTAATCATCTTGGTAGCCCTCCGCTGGACTCTCTCCAGGAGTGCCATGTCTCTCTTGTACTGGGGAGCCCAGAACTGGACACAGTACTCCAGGTGAGGCCTCACCAGGGCTGAATAGAGGGGCAGGGTCACCTCCCTCGACCTGCTGGCAACACTCTGCCTAATGCACCCCAGGATCCCACTGGCCTTCTTGGCCACAAGGGCACACTGCTGGCTCATGTTTAACTTGTTGTCCACCAGCACTCCCAGGTCCTTCTCTGCAGAGCTACTTTCCAGCAGGTCAACCCCCAGCCTGTCCTGGTGCATGGGATTATTCCTGCCTAGGTGCAGGACCCTGCACTTGCCTTTGTGGAACTTCAGGAGGTTCCTCTCCGCCCACCTCTCCAGCCTGTCCAGGTCCCTCGGAATGGCAGCACAGTCTTCTGGTGTGTTAGCCTCTCCCCCCAGTTTAGTATCATCAGCAAACTTGCTGAGGGTGCACTCTGTCCCTTCCTCCAGGTCACTGATGAATACATTGAACAAGACTGGACCCAGGACTGACCCCTGCGGGACACCACTAGCTACAGGCCTCCAACTTGACTCTGCGCCATTCACCACAATGCAGGCATCAAATTCTGTATATTTGAAAAAAAAAATTCTTTTCCTTGTAAGTTATGCTTCAGTGATTATTTTCCTAGGTAACTGAAATTTTCATTAGTATGAGACCATAAAAGAACAAGTTTTGAACTTTGTCATCATGGGTGAAAACAAATCAATGCTTACTTTCTAAGTACTGAAATAAAAAATGATGGAAATCCTCACTTATGATGGAGAATGATGATAGATTAATGCTGTAGAAATTGTCTGTTAGTAATGTAAGCATTGATCCCACGCATTAATGTGAAGTGAAATCAATATCTTGGCATACTATGCAAAAAGAGTAAACCTGTGGAGTGACTTTCTTAGCCCTACTACAAGCCTGTTATCTTTCCTGTGTCTGCTGTCTTTCCTGAATATGCAAGGTTCATTTCTAACATTTACATGCATGTTAAATGCCCCTTCCTTCAACACTTGAGGAAATGATATTCTCCTAGAGTGCACTTTTGACCCAAGTACAGTAAGAAAAAATACACAGCAACTGTACTGCATTTGTCATATACCCACTAAGCATAATAATTTGTGTTATGTTCATACTATGGAGGCTAAAAACCATGTCACGTTCTGTTTCTTCTCTGTAGAAAGCTTTGAACCTTCTTTTTAAAATCTTAGGGAGATTAATGGAGATTGCATGCTCTCTCCTACACTCTTGCCTGCAATGCCACACTCTGGTTAAAACTGATGTGTTGGCCAGATTCTGAGCATCAACTGATTGTTCAGGGAGAGAAAAAAGACCAAAAACACATGTTTAAGGTTAACAGAGAAATTAAAGCGACTAGGAACACTGACAGATTCTCCTAAGTAGCAGAGCAAATCCCTGTGGACCCATGAATAGAAGGTGGGATAGTGTGAAAAGGGAGATTGAAGTTGAACAGGATGTGGCCTGACTTTCTCAGGTTTCTAATAGTGAGTTTAAAGGAAGTTGATTGAAATACATTGTTCTTAGGTGACTTCTGGAGCTCTAGTTTATGCTTGTTCATTCCTGGCTAGAGGCTGGGCGAAGTAAAGAAAAGGAAACAAAGTCAGAGAGCTGTAACTGTGGAGAGCTTGGTCTAGCCGTAAAGCTAGTAGCCTCAGGGAAGGGAAAATAGGAATCTCAAAAGCAGTTACAATTTATTAATGTAATCCAGCATCTTTCTTATAGTTTTAAGAGAACATTCAGTATTTTGGTTTTTATTCCTTAATTTTGCAGTCCAGCTTGTCTTCTTGGATTCCATAAAATAATATGCCTGATAATCTTCCCATGTCTGCTCTGCACCTGTTTTACAGATTTAAATGATACTCAGAAGTGTCTTGCCAGGAAAGATGGTAATATGTAGGTCTATCTCCCAGCTGCTAGAGGTGGGATCTTAGGGAATATACAGCCATGGGGAAATCAGTCCTGCACTTGGCTTCCAGAACAATAGTTCTCAATCCTCTTTCCTGCTGGGCAGATTCAGACAACTCATTGAACACAGATGGGTTTTCATACGAAAATATTTCAGTTTTCATCTGCAGTTTGAAAACAAGTAACACACAACCTTAGTTAACAGATGACTCCTTGGCTGTTCCTTACTAATAATGCCCTTTTGAGTTCTTTGGTATTTAAGAAATTGCAAATGACTGTAATTACCTATATCTGTATATCATACAATATTCAAAATATAAAATAGGTAGAGAAGCGGCAGCAATGTGGACTCCATGTAAAATGCTAAAATCCCTGCAAAAGCTAGTGGAAATAAAGGAATACCCATTTGACTTTTGCAGAGTTATCAGAGCAGAATTGCTACTTATAAGCAATGTAAATAAAGTTCTGAAATTACTATTTGCAAAGTTTTAAACTGAGGTCTAATAATGCGAGCTCACATTGAAGTATCCTATTAAAATGACATTCAGGGCAAATAAATCAAACTAAAACCTGAGCTGGAATAACTAACCAAATCAGCATGAGCACAGTTGTTACAGGAGTGCATGCCCAAAACTTGCTGCCAAATCTAGAGCAACGAACATAGTTCTTAGCATTTTTTTTGGCACAAAATGTAACTCAGTAATTTTATTAACAGAAGAAAGCGCTTCCAATGTGGAATACATTACAGCTCTGTATGAACAAAAGTAATTAAATTCATTCTGGTTGGCTAAGCTGAATTACCAACTGTTTTGAAACTTGGATTCATTGCTAATAAGTCTGTGATGATAAGCTGCATTTCTAATCCATTTAGCTTTGTAAAGTACAACGAGGTACATTGTAACATTTTAAATAGAAGTTAATAATTTTGGGAAGATTCCATGGTAAATAATTCAGCAGACTTGTGAGTGAAACTACATGGTATGTTATTCTTTGAATCATGTGACTTCTAAACAACGCTCAAGTTTCCCATTTCCAGTATTTTACTTAATGACTTTTAGTATTCCTAAAATGATTATGTTTTATAATGGAGAACCTCTATCACGAAACATTAAAATCAAGTCTTGTTCAACGGCAGCTGCAAAAGAGGATTTGCCCTTTTGTGAAATCCTACAGAACTACACACAGCCTCTCTGACCTTTTTGTAGCATAACCAATATCTGACTTCTCTGACATTTGAAAATTGAGGCAGCAACAATAAGATCGACCACCTAAAGAATAGCTCCTATTAAAAGCTCCTTAAGCATGTAAAATGTTAAGGCCAAAATTCTAAGTCTGGAGTTACAATACATCTGAAAATTAGGCTAATTGAATTGCAGTGCTGAACTAAGGAATTTAATCCTTCGCTTTTAGGCATCCAAACTTAAAAAATATTTTAAATTTGAAAAACTATCTGGCATAGTAAATAAAAGGAAGTTTTAAATACACTGGTTCCTCCCAAAATGCAGGACATATCCTTCAGGTTGGGTGGAGGAAGTGAAGTGGCTTTATGTATCATGGTTAATTAAGGAGGAGGTTCAAGTAGGTAATTCATTTGAGAGAAGGAATGTCTAAAAAAAATTTAAGTACTCTTTCCAACTTACCAAAACACCCGCTTTCCCAAAATGTACAACACTGATGTGCTGTTCACAGCATTTACAAATGAAAAAACTGAAATAGGTGACTTCCACTATTTGCTTTTCTTTCATTGGCAACAGATGAATAACAACCTCACTGATGTGTTTTGTTAGTCATCCAAGAGGCTGGATCAGGCAGAAAAATTCATGACTTGCTCTCAAACTCACCATCCATTTATCTTCTGAAAATATAATATATCCCTCATGTTATCCCATGAGTGTATGCAATCTTCTATCCCTTCTCAAATAGTAACATAAGACAGAATTGACCTACTGCTTGTAAACAGCTTTCAAAGAAAGTTAGAAAGGTAAGAAGGAAGCAAATACACTTAAACTTCAGGCAGTTATAGCATTAGTTTTCCAAAAACCTTATATCTATTCATGATTATCTTGTAAGGACACAAAGCAAAAACCAGAAAGACATATTGCATCTCATTTACTTTGAGAGATTTATTGCAATCTATTTTTCACAATTTCATATGAAGACTTTTTTCCCAAGTGTTCTACTTTTCACCTGCTTCTCTAACTGGTACTCATGTAAATTAGCAATTTGCTCTTTTCCTCCTGCTTTTTGAATTGCAAGCATCCAGTTATTTTAGCTTTAATCCAAAACTGTACTTAAGAATATTAATCTTGCTGACATAAGTTAAAAATGAAGTTTTTTTACTGTATAATTTATTAAAATGTTTAAAAACGTGACACAACTGAAAGTAACACTGGAATAACTAACTCAAGTATCATATTTTCATAAAAAATGTGCACCCAGTTCCTAATACAGAGTCCTGATCTGTTAAAATACTTTCTTTTAAATAAATTGCTAAGGAATAAAAAAAATTATTGTGGCACTTTAGTAAATTGGACTTTCTTGTTTTATTGCATATTACAATGCTCAGATCAATACACGTTCATCAGTAGCAGGGGATATGAGAAACTTTCAAAAGCAGGTCATGTTAGGGTGTCAGTCGTTTGGGATCCCGTGGGAACATCGAGGTCTGACGAACATTGTGCAGCCCCAGGTACAGCATAGTTACTCTTTCCAGCCCTAGAACAAATGAAAAAATATCAGTATAGTTCTAAGTCCTAAATGTTTAAGAAGTCAAACACGCTTTATAACTACAGCCAACCTCACATATAGTGGCGTGACCAAAGACTGCTTGACTTCAGAAAGGAGCTGGAACCAAAAACTGAATTTTACATACACTACTTTCTATGCTGATATGTGTAGGATATATAAATAGTGGGATATATAAACAGTAGGATCACAACTGAAAATTTTAGGATGTAAAATGTTCACACCCAAGAAGGGAGGCCTCCAGATACAATACCTTTGCTGAAACAATTAGCATCAGCCAAAGCTGATCAGTGACATTCAGTCAGTCCACTGTGAATAAGACAGTATAGCAATCACTCTTCTCCTCACAGCAGAACAGCTTCATCAAATGCGCTAAGGGACCAGTAGCCTCCAGTGTAAGTAGGCTATGAAAAATCATGAATAATACAGTATTTTGTTTCTTCCTAAAGATTTCCTCATTGGTCAAATTTGAAGGTGACCCACCTGTCTAACAAGTCAGCATTTTTTCTTGTGATCATCTGCTTTTGAAATTTGTTGAACTTTGCCTATTTATTTTATAAGGACTCTTACATATTAGCTTCTCTCCTTAAATACAGCAGCATAAACAGCTTACACAGTTACCTAACAAGATTACTATTTTGAATTTGATATTGAACCCTGCTTGAGATCAAGCAGTTTAAGTTAAGCTCAGGCTAATACAAAGTAAAATAAAATGGAGATACATACCTATTCCACCACCTGCATGTGGAGGTGCACCGAAACGAAAGGAATCAATGTAGGCCTTTATTTTCTCTAAATCTAGAGAGGGAAAAGATATCTTTACTTCCATTCATTTCTCACCTACTTAATGAACCCCAAGTCAAACACATACAAGTGTCTAGAGGATTGCAAACAAAACAACAAAATTACCAATGTAATGTACAAACTAACAGTGGGGTTCTACTCTGATCTAACGCTGTCTAGAGGTTCTGACTATAGCCATTTTATTTTATAATTTTGTTAATAACTTAATGGGGGAAGGCATTTCAGAACCAAGTTAGAGGTAGGCCCAACTACTACGTGTAATTTATGGAAAGCTGACTTTTTGAATACACTGCAGTGAGAAAGTGAAGATTCAGCAACTATTCTCCATCTTGCTACAATGAGAGCTGCTACTTTGTTGCTACTTCCTTTCTGCAACCTCACTCTGTCTGCTGAAACCATGATTTTAATCTACACCTTGCACTCCTGATGGCCACCTAATTTACTTTCACCCTTTTACTATTAGCCAGCCTTGTCCCTGTTGAGTCCTTCTAATTTCACCAACAGAGCCTTTTTGAATGGTTCTTTCTTTTTCTTGTTGATCCACAAGTTCAAGGCTTAAAAGGGACCACTAACCACACAGGACTCTGCTGGAGTCTACTCTGTAAGAGGTTTGTGAGAGTGCACAGAGGCACTGGCAGGATGAGACTTGCTTCTCTGCCCTCATTCCGCTGCAGGTACTTCCTGTGCTATGATCTCTCTAAAGCCTTCAAAAGTAATCTATTTTCATCAAGGTGTTTTTGGGAAACTAACTAGTTTCTTAATACCACCACTCTAGATTAAAATGGTTAAACAGAACGAGATAGAATCAAATTCTGTCCCCCAAATATTTTTTTTTTCCTAAAGGAAACAAATCCTATCATGATGTACAAACTTTTAAGTTTAGCTTCATATTGTTTAACTTGTTACCAATGCCATGATGTAGGGCTCGTTCTGTCAGCAGCTGAGGATCATGAATTCTCTGAGCTCCGGACAAAATTTCTTCCCCTCTCATGAACATATCGTAAGAGTTGGAGTTTTTCTGGAAAGAGAAAGATGAGTTTATTTCCCACCTACAGTTAACTCTATCCTAAGGTGGCAGATATGCAACTGTCAATAACTTTGCTTATGATATCCAAAGTTGTGTAGTAGGAGTGCAATGTACTTGGAGACCACCCTTAAATTACAGTAATTTGGCTCTTCGCATTAGACTGGATTAGATTTTAAAAACTGAACTTCATCCACATACCCTTTGAAAAACCATTATACTTGCATGTAGACGGTTATTGTAGCAAAGATGGTATAAAGATATTTACTCTGGATTTAGTAATAAACTGGGGAATTTCTAGCAATGTAAAAAAGCATATTTTCTGTTAAAGCGCCCATTGCACTGGAAGGATATAGTTGTCTCTTTTCAGAGATTGCAGCAGAAGCACCAATGGTCTGACCATGGAAATCTCTTCATAGAGCTACCCCAATTTGTAGCTTTATTTGTTTCCTTCTGGGACACTTTCACCAGTAAAGAGTAACTGTAAACATTTTATGAGCCACATAACACTGATCTACTCTTGTTATCAGAATCTCACGTACAACAGCAGATCATAGAAAAGTACTTTTGTTTATCTATTTTGTCAGGTTATCCCTACACAGAACAATTGCAACTTCAAAAAAAAAAAAAAAACAACAAACCCCCCACACTGACAACAACAAAGGATTTTACTTACAGGGTTTACTGGGTCTGGCATTGTATAGAAAGGCCTCACAGCAAGAGGGTATTTGTCAAGAATATAGAAGTCTGTGTCATACTGACAGAAAAGATAATTTTAAACAGTTAGTACAAGATAAATTGATGTAAAAACAAATTACAAGAGGAAGACACAACCAGCGAATCTCGGAAATCTTAAAAAAAAAAGTTTTTCCCAATAATTTTGCAAAATTTGACAGTACTATCTTCAAAAACAATTGTTATAAATACAAATATTGTGTTATTTTTCAGTTTTCCAATATTTCTTCTGTTGTGAACTTCAGGATGTTTAAGAGTAAAATGCCTTGCCATAATAACTGGTGTATTTACTGTTTGCCAAAGACTTGTCTTCTCTGAAAGAATTAATTAGAATCTATGGTTTTAGTTATCCTAAGAAACATTGTTGGAAAGAACTACCTGTTGGCATATTTAATATAACAGATGATAAAAATAAAACAAATATAAAACAGATCGAAAATGGTTTGAAACAACTTACTAACGATAAAGAAAAAACTGACAATAGATTAAATAACAGCAACACGGGAATGCAGTGAGAACAGTCAAGAACATGTGTATGCCAATCACAAACTGTTCTAACTTATGCATGTTCTGAGATGTTATCTTTTTTATTAGTACATAAAAATTGTTTAATATGAAGCAGGCAATTATACCCAGTGATTCCATGAGTTTCCATGAGGCTTCAGTTTCAATAACAAATTAATTTATTCTAAAATAATAGCTACCTTTTCCTTCACCAGGCGTCCCAGCAGCTTTTCATTAGGTGTGCTGAAAAAGATTCTCACCATTAAAATTAAGTGATTTAAACTTTTGTGATTATATACTTCATAAAGCTGAAAAGTTTAGAAGCCATTTGCTGCATCCCACTCTTAGAAAATACATTACTTGTTTCTGAGTGTTTTGGACTGCGCAGACAGCAGTTTCAAAACTCAAGTGTATTTGTTTCTCTTCCTAAATATTTTGTAATTGGTCCTAGAAATTCCTTAAATTAACTGACACCTAAAGGTATTCTTGCTCTTACTATACCTACTTCCAAGTCACTGTATTTAGATCACTGAGAATTTGTGCACTAAATTTCCTATTGGCACGTACCTCATGCAGCCATTTTTCTTATGCACAATAAGCGAGACCTATGAACAGCATGACACCAGGAACAGTTACTGAAGGAATCATTTTGCTATATCAGACTCCTAAGATTGCAACTTCTTTGATGCATGGATCCTTTAACTGTAAAATAGTATGTTATCATAATGTTTTCTCTCCAGTAGAAAGAAAGGAGAGAAATGCTTTAATTTAGTAAGTGTCTTTAGAAGCATTTATGTATCTGTTAATTAAACCCATCTTTGAGTAAGTCGATGGTAATGAGATCACGACCGCTTAACAGTTTTCCTGAGAGGTGGGAAGGAGGAAATGGGGAGGTGTTACTGAAAAGAAAGACTTTCCGACTGAAGAATCTTTTAATTTAATCCTATTCAAAGAAATGTGGCAATTCATATGAAGGACTGTAATTATTAGGCAAACAAATGCTTTTATTATTAGGCAAACAAAAGCTTTTATGCTTAGAAGGTTCAAAGTTCCTCTCATTTCATATTTTAAGTTGTTTTCTTTTGGATCTCAAAGTTTTTATGCATAGTCAGTGGTGAAAGAAAGGCCTATTTTCATATCCATCCATTTATTTGTCAGGAGATCTGGATATGAGAACAGTTTATTAATTTCGAGGCCTGTTAGTTGCATAATACAAAACTGATACTTCACTATCACAAGTCTGACACGCTTCATTTCAGCATTGCCAAAATACCTCAGATCTTCTTCATCACCCATCTCAACACCAGCCTCCCTAAGCATGGCCACAGCTTCACAGTATTCCAGCCTCAGAGTTGGCTCCAAAAACTTAAATGGCTCACACGGGAACTGTTTATTCACTGTCTGAATTTCACTTTGAAATCTATATGCAAGAAAACAAAAAGAACAGAAGCAAAACGCAAAACAATCAAGAAACGTAACTCTTGTATCTAATAACGGTTTTGCAATGGCAATACATTTTTGCCACAAGAGGTCCCTCTTGCAACATACAAAATTTTTTTAAAGCAGCTTCTGGAAAAGTTCCGTATAATCCTAATGAAATATTTCCTGCAAGTTAATGCGATCTACTTAAATGATAAACATATCAGTACTTTACTATTACTTCTGCTTTATTCCTTTTGTAAGGAATTACTGACTAGGTCAAATTCTTCAAAATAAAGACACTAAATCATCCTTTTGATCTGTAATATTTAGTTGGGCTCTCCTTTGATGTGTACAATTTCAAGTACAAAAGAAAAATTTACACCTAGTCAGCTGAAAAGATTTCCATATCTGTTGTCAAGATACTGTAATGCGTAAGAAAATGAAAACCACTCCTTAAACTGCTGGCTTGCCTTTTTAATGAGTTAGACTGCAAATAATGGAAAATAGTCTTCACTGCTTTCATGGCGGAGATGCAGGCTATTACAACCTATTTGTTTCAGGAAAGCTTTCTTAAACAATAAATATTAAGATTAATAGATCAATCAGTCTACCCATGATGGCATAAAAGGAAGGACAGTTTACAGTAATGATGGATCATTTCTGTTACGAAGCTCATTCACCAGTGAACAGCAGGTTTTCTTAGTGCAACCTGGCATGCTCTAGGAGGTGCAAATCAAGCTAAAAACATACAATTTAGTGGCCTATGGCTTTACTGACCTCTAAAAGTTAGGCAGAGAGAAACAGTTAAGCGCAAAGCAAGAGTGTTAGTTTTTAAGCTCTCCTGTAAATCATATTACTAATGATTATCTGTCAGGCTGAGGATAAAACGCCTGCCCGTTTCATACGATAGTATCAGAGATCTCCTACAAATGAAGTTGCCTATGAAATGGAAAATGCTCTAGTTACCTTTCCTGAAGTCCCTTGAATATCTGCACCAAGGTATCTGCAATCTCATCTACCACTTCATGATAGTGATAATTAAAAGCCATTTCCATATCCAGACCAACAAACTCAGTCAGGTGTCTGTGTGTATTGGAGTCCTCAGCTCTAAATACTGTAAAATTAAACAACAGAAATTCTATTTACCTGAATTTGTATTTCCTGTTTGAAAAACAACCCAGATAATCAATCAGATCAGCTTATGGACCAGGCAGACAACGCTGCCTTTAGACATGACAAGTCTTACCTAAAACCAAAGAGAAAATTGACTGCTGCAAAGCAGCATTTATAACATTGACAGCATTATTGTAGCTGTGATAGTTAAAAGGACGTAAGAGAGACAAGATTTGTAAAAAGGCAGTAGTACCTCGTATTAGACTGACAGGAGTGGAGAAACAGACAAGTTTTCAGGCACAGAAGAACTTTCATATTTGAAAAGCTGCCTATTTCAGAGGAAAAGGGTTTCTGCACGTGTGTGCGCGCGTTCGGTTATTTTCAAGTATATGAGTCTAAATAAACATGTCTTCCTACAAACCACGAGTCGTGATTTACAAACTAACATGGCAAGACATTTAAGATCTTCTGAAATCCTTGCACCTTTTTTATTTTGTAAGTTATTACTGACTTGTTTTCCAGCATTTCCAGCTTAGATGTCTTTAAACCTGTCTTTGAGGTCTTAGAAAAGGGCACTATATTACTGCTTAAAGAGGGAATGTCTTATTTTACCACAGCTTTTGAGAGAGCATGAGATTGGAAATTATTAAATTTGGATTATTTACTGACAGCCCACTTAAATGTGTGTGTTTTCTAAATAAAGCTGTTTGGCACATATACAAAGGATAAGTATATTTTAATATGCGCTCTGAGGTACACAAAACCTAGATTGCCTATTTTTAACTGCTTGCTATTGGGCAAATAAAGCATGTTTAAAAGGAAACTTCAAGCTTCAGCAATCACAGTGTTGTTAGATGTTTTACTAACTTCATCACATTATTGATTTCCAATGCAACAATTCTTTCTCCTTCTGGAAGAACAGGCACTGGAGAAAAGTAGGCACTAGAGAAGAGTATTCCACCCTTATACTTCAGCATTTCAGTTTTGTTCCAGCAACTACTCAGTCAACCTTACTCAACCTCATTAGTCTGACTACCCCAACTGAAATTTGTGTTTGGTAAGTGAAACCATATACAGTGAAACTATTCAAGCTTTCAATGTACACGTTATCTTATTTGTTCCACCACTACTATAAAAGGCATCACTGCACACTTCACAATTTGGATAAGCCAGTGCTCTTCTTACCTGGCCCAATGCAGAAAACCTTTTCAAAGTCAGCACATATACACATCTGCTTGTACAGCTGTGGAGACTGAGCCAGGTAGGCACTGCTTTTGAAGTAAGATACAGTAAAAACATTGGCTCCTCCTTCGCTGGCAGCTGAAATGCAAATGCTTACAGTAGTTATGAAGATAAAAATGAAAAAATAATCAGAAATAGACGGGTTCAAGTACCATTGGGCTTATATTTAAAGACAAGAATGAGATTTTTCTTCAAAGCGTATTAGATGAAAAAGATATAGTGGCATCCATTAGTGTTAAGGGAAGTTTTGTGGGCAAGACTGTCAGACATTGCCTTGCAAAATAAATTAGGGTAGTTTAAGATGTTGCTATTCCCAGCTATTCCCTTCATTTACAAAGCCAGAGAGTTAACTGCAGAGGCCGAGATGCAAGACTAGATTTACCAGACAGCATCCTCCAAAGGTCTAAACCCTTCTCTCAGTATGAGGCAATTAGCACAGCAAGTCACCTCGAGGAAAAAAAGGAGCCAAGAACCCATGCAGTTGAATTCCTCATTGTAAACTGCTTAAACCATCAGCTGAGTCACTTTACCTTCACTTCTCTCAATGTGTGATATGAGAGTTATAGTTGCCTACCTTGATAACAAAAATATGCCAGAGTAAAGTGTCAGTTAGTAGTCTTTAAAAATTCTTATGATAACACTGGGTAAAGTGCTAAATACTGTTACTGTTATTAACTATTCCACTGAGATTAATTTTTCTTGTCTTTCGTTACTTATACTCCCACAAAAATGGTTTAGGTGAATATTTACATAGTTATTTTTGAATACAGGTCAATAACTTTTAAAATCTCAAATCTTAAAACAGGTAAGATATTTAAATGTGAAGTTTATTAAGGAGTGTATCTATTTAACTTAGTTATTTTTACGAAACATTATCTCATCCAAACAGTAGGATGCTTGCTTGCTTTCAATGGTACACTGCACAGAAAGAACAGCACACTTCCTGAAAGGTCCTGTGTAAATAAACTACTTGGGAGTTTTTAAATGCTTCATGCTTTTTGTACAGAGATAGTTGAAACAAAGGTAGTGAATCATATAGCTCAGGAGTACTTTCCACGTAGTAAGAGTAGTTGCTTACACGGATTTTGTTAAAAAATACTGGTTTCATCTCAGTCAAGAGCTATCTTCAAAATATAAATGGGAGAGTATTAAACTCAGTAGGCAAAACGTATGCATATAATAAACACATATAATGAGAATAATACAAATATTCTGCCCTACAGTAGCATTTTCCATGCCATATGTCCTGGTGACATCAACAAAACCTCACAGCAAACCAAAAGATGGAAGAAAAACATCTACCTGTAAATCAAAGAATTTGACTTTTGAAGAAAATATAGCAGATGAACAACAGAACCAGAAGCTAAATCTACCTTTCCAAACTTTTAGTTGGGCTGAAGCTGTTAGGCCATACTTTCAGAAAAATTATGCTAGCATCTCCCATTCAATCATATATGCTCATTGCTACAGAAGTAACAGCTAATATTTTCTATAATGGCATCATCCTTTATACCATGAAATGGTGGCTGTAACTTCTTCATGATCGAAGCTGCTTTTAACTTAAATTAGAACGTTTTTTGTTCTGATACTGGGAATGGGATTTTAGACTGACAGTGCTTAACGTTCAGAACGCTGGCGTGAAGGACAACGCATGCGATCACACATCCTTGTATGTTGTGTGTTGCATCTTTGTTAACCAAATCAAAACTCGTAGACATTGCAGAGTACATAAATCAGGTATATACATGTGTGTGTGTGTGTGTGTGTGTGTGTGTGTGTGTGTGTGTGTGTGTGTGTGTTGTCATTGTTTTAGCATCTGAAGTCAGAAGAATAACTTTATTACCTGCTAGAAGTTTGCTGTATTATATCTAAATCAGAAACACATTTAAAAAAAAAAAAAAAAAAGAAAAAGATGCCTAATTTTTGGCAGATACCTACATTGAGCAACTGTAAAGGAAGCAGATCTGTAGCTGCTGAATCAAATATACAGTACCTGAAATGATTTTGGGAGTCTGAATTTCCACAAATCCCCTGTGAATGAGAGTTTCTCGGAAAAGCTGACAAATACCAGACTGAAGGCGAAAGACTGCCTGACTAGTTGAAGTCTATAAGGAGAAGATAAAATAATGGAATGCTAAGTTAGTTTAATTTTCCAGACTCTTCCAAGTCTTCCAGACAGCTAGAAAGATGAATCTCTTAAGAACATCTATTTTTGTTGTATTTGCCTAAATAGAGAAAAGTGTAAATTGATAATTATTTATTATACAAAAAGAATATAGCAAAGGAAACAAAAGAAACACCTCTTTTAAATTTATAGAACGTTCAGTTATAAAGCAAGCAATATGATCAATTCTTCATTTAAAGAATCACTGATTTATTGAGTTGTGCTTCTGCAAGTAAAGATTTTATAGTAAGAAATTAAATAAAAACATTAAACTGATTAAAAAGCTTTTAACACACTAAACTAGAACAGCTGCAGAAATCTATAATGCATGACAAAAGCAACACTCCTAAATTATATACGGTAGAAATGTTGGTTTGGTTCTATTAAAGACTACTGAATATGATGTTTTTCATGTAAAACATAGCCACATGTAAACCATGTGAGATACAATCACAAAAACATCCCCAAAAGGAGATTTAAGCTCCTAGCAGCACTGAAAACAGTCTACATATACCTGATATGTGAACAGCAATTATTCTGTCTTTCCAAAATTTACTCCAAAAGCTGTCTGCATTTAGATGAAAACATGAATGGATCATCTTCTATTTGTTTATGTATATGACACAGTTAAGCTATTTATCTGCTTAACAAATACACTCAATGTTCCTTTAATACACTTGGGCTTTAGTGTGAAAAACAAAACAAAACACCCCACAAACTTAGTGAACGCTACAAACACTGCAATACGTCAACACTGAACCCATATCTGATTTTGTGCTTGCAGTGTTTGAGCCCTGACAGTTAGCAACCTACAAGCGTATATAAAAACATCAACGAATCCTTACAAACAACTGACAGAACGTTTCTTTATGACAATCTGCGTCACAGCACTGTTTACTTCTCCTTTCTGAAAGGTACCCAACTTTTCAGTTAGGGTAAGGAGCCTTGTGGGCTTTTTCACATGACTCCTACCAAACCACAAAACAAAAAACCCCAATCAAAACAAATTATATAACCACCAAATTTAGACTGTCAGAACACTGGATACGTCAAAATAAAACTACATCCATCATCTCTGGAAGATAAAGATACCACTCAACTGAAAATTCGAAAGAGAAAGCTGCAATAATACTGCGGATTCATAATAATTCGGAGATATTCGCAGTTTTAGCAGCCTGATAAAACATCGCAGCGGTGTAATCGGCTGAGACTGTAGTAACTAATTGCTAGTGGCTCTCACTGTCTGATAGCGTGAACCATAGTCGCTACTCCCTCTACTTTCAAAATGAAGGAAATGAGGTTTTGAGCAACAGTTACAAAAGTACCCTCAAACATTTTCACCCTTTTTCCACTGGTCTCAAGAGTCAGACAGATGTTAAGACAAGAAACTTAGCCCAAGTCTTGTACACAACTTTGCAGAGTGTTTTAGCAAAGCACTGGACTGATTCAAAGGGATTTTTTTTTTTTAAACCATCTCCTACTTAAAATCTGAAAAACATCTTCAGGGAGATGACAACCCAAACAGTCACATTTGGGTTTAACAATACAATTCTTGGTGAACTACAGTTTCTCAAAATATTTAAAGACAAAATGTCCAACATATTCATTTAAAGTGGGATAGTAGCAATTGGCTCCTCCGCTTTTTGATGAACCAACGCCAGTTTCATGCCAAAGGAGGTGAGAATGTAGTCCTAGGCTATACATTCCTAGGAAAAAGAAAAATAGTATTTTGCTAAACCCCATTTGAAAGCAATTACTTGCTCTGAAGCCTAAAACCATACACAGAAACACAGCCTTTCCATAACTAACACAAATCTCCATTAAAAATAACTTGCAATGTAGTAACTCCTTCCTTTAGTGAGGATGCAAACCAAAGAATCTTCTTAATGTCATCTATGTTAAATTATCTTTAAAAACAGTATATATGAAAGCAGCCAAATTCACCGACTGGATGCCGAAGCTTTCTTTGAATTACAGGCCAAGGAAAGAATAAACAATAAATTTCTGTACCTCAGATGAAACCTGACAAAAGCATTCTTCTAGCTACCACAGTCAGCCGAGTTCCAACACCCATTCATTCAGAGATTGCCAATAACAACTGTTGAGAATTTGTGATACTGCAATTTCCTCATAATAATTAAACAGGCTAACAAGATATTTGAGGTATGGACTCCTAAAGAACTATTACTTGCAACACGCAGTGGAGTCAAACAGACGACCTCAGAAGTGTTGTGTATGATTACAACATTATAACTTTCCAAAGATTTTAAAGATGATACTGTATATACATGATGAAAAGCTTTCCAGACTTAATTTGTGTTCCTTGCCTAAATATAGTGCTTAGGAGAAAAAGATAAAGACATTGAATCTAACTGAAGAAAACAATTCAAGCTGTCATCCTGTCTTTAACTGACCTGGTGGTGTGCATATTACCATGTGTGGTTACAATGGTAGGCAATACGGTTACCGTATTACCTACCACACTTAGGTGTGGCACAGCAAACTGAAGACAAACAGCTGTCACAAGGAATAATTTTTTTTTACCTTTGCCTTTAAAAAGATTCACCATGGCATTCTTTTCCTGCAGTGCTTATTCTAATATGAACTCTGACCCATACATATTGGCAAACTGTCTTATCTGAGACCATGTCAAAGACAGAAAATACTCCTCCCAGACTTGAGCAGAATCTGGAACAAACTCATGCCAGTTACACGTTGTTAACACTGTTAATATTTTAACTTGGTCTGTAGAGCTGGTTTTACAAGAAAATTCATTATTTTTAATGATCACATTCGTTAAAGCAGAAAAACATACAGCTAACGATGCTTAAGTATGAGTTTTGGTCATAACCTCACTCTAGTTTTACCTACTATATGTTTATTATTTAAATACTGCTAAGGAAAATAATAATAATAGAACAGAGCATGTTTTAACACTATAATTAAGATCATATTAACAATTATCACATTTTAGTCAGCACCATCTACAGTGTTAGAATAATCATTGCCATGTAAGTTGCCAGAGACAGACAAACTGAGGGCAGTTAACACCTTAGCGATCACATCTCAAAGAGGTGCGACTGAAGTGCAGATGTGCAAAGCTGGGAACTTTTCATTTCACTCTCACATCAGCCGTAGAATTTGTTTTGCTGTCATCTCAGTTTTGCTTTTTTGTTTCTCTGCTTTAACTCCCTGTCCTCCACTATGAAGGATCACTAAATACATAAAGTAGGCTAACTAAAAAGGGGAAAGTAATGTAATTTTTACTGTAGATAATTTTGCAACTTCTATATTATATAAGAACAGAACTTTTCGTCAGGAAATATTATTTGTTTTAATTAACAATTTAACCCCAAAACAACTACAATCAACTGATTTATTCAAATGTCAGTACTGATTTATAGTGCAACGAGAAGATACAAACATTAATTTTATTGTCTAAATGCATTAATGCAGAAGACTGCATTACGTCTTCTCTCCTAATTCACTACACACAATGAACTGTACGTCTGCTTGTTCATTACTGCTCAAATCAGTCAGAAAAAAATATAGCTTTTGCAATGAGGAAATTGAATTCAACACAACAAAATCAAGCTTGAAGTAACCAAGTATTTTGAAAAAAATTGCATTACAGTTGGATTGTCACATAACATGGTCTGACATCCATAAACTACTAAAGGTACAGTTTAATTTGTATACACTATTCCGAGCAGTCTGAACAAGATAATCTTGGCCCTAAAAGGACTGCGCTTTGGACTCAACAAGCTCTACATGAGCAGACACAATGACTGCATCAGGACTGCTAAATGCACATAATTCAAGTCAAATTTGGACAGATAGTGCTAAGATAAAAATTCTTCTGGACATCAAAAATAAGCCAGAGCAAGGACATCAGAGTCAGGACCATCATTAAAACTTGATAAACCTGAATGATTTTATTTTCTTAGGACGAAGACACATCAAGAAGCAGAAATCAAAAATGTTATACTTGCTTGCTGTCTTTTCTTTCCTGTTTTTCCTCTACCACAGATCTTCATGAAATATGGTCTTTTAACAGTTTCTGTAGTTTTTACAGATATGAAAAGTCACATGTCACTGAATATTTCAGTTAAACCTAAGCACAGGAGAAAAGTAGAGCTTTGGAAACACAAGCAGTGCTCCAATTTGCCTTTCTGAATTGCTCCAACAGAGGGGTAGTAAATCAAGCATGTCCAGAAAAAAGTGCTTTGATTCTTATTAAACTATCGTGAAAAATAAGATACTTAGGGCATCAGCGGTTTCCTCATGGTCACCTGCAGCCAGGTAAATGCAACCGGAGAATCTTGTTGGATGGAGCTATGCTATTTTTGGAAACCTGACCCCTTTCATTCATGCAAAAACTCTGCTTTTTCATACTTTGGCCCTAACCAATGAACTCACTGGTCAATCACTAATTAAAATTAGTTAAAGTACTAAACTACTTTTAAGATTGCCTTTAAATGGTCAAACATAATTCTAGGCCCATAGCAAGGATTTTTTTTTAGTCTGAGTCTAGACAAGTATATGCATTTATTTCTTCAGAACTTTCTCCAAAAATTAGTTTATTTTTGGTATTCAGTAACCTCCCTCCTTCCTTAAAAATGCAGCACTGAAGAAACCAGAACTAGATGGTACACACACTTCTAGTTTGACTTCCTCCCACAGTTGTGAGAATAGATCATCACAGCATCTCTAGTTGAACTATTTTGTTAACATTTTATTCACTGCCACAAATGATTGGGTTTTACCAGAAGGAACAGTATGGGAGAGCAAGCAGCTAACAGTGGTTTCAGGTGGCCTTGTGAGCTTTTAATACAGCATCTCTTCTAATCCTGATTAGCAGATACCTACTTAAGCAATGCATTTGAAGCTCTAGGGCCTCTCTGAAGTCATATTTGTACTACAGATCCAATCTATGCAACCACATCACTGAAAATCAATAACTAGTTTTTTTATTTTGAAGGACAAACTATCTTGGTGTCCCTGCTCCTGCGATTCCACTGCATACAGTGCTTAGAATGTGCATATATCTACAAACACATATTCTCCCTGGGATTTTCCCTTTCTCCATTTAATACTTTTTCTGCTTATTCAGCTTTCCCGTGAAAAAAGAAAAAAACACCCAAGGCCAGAGTAACACGTAACTATTTAGAATCCTCCTTTGCACAAGCAAAGGCTCCTGCAGAACAAAGAAAGCAAAGTTATGAATAGCTGCTTTGGTTCTGAAATAAAGAATGAAGTGGGCAACAGAAGAGCTGCACAGAAATGTGATGCGGTCAGAGACAGAAACTTTTCCCATACGTAGGAAACGGCAAGACAGTCTTTTCCCTAGTCAAGGGAAAGCTGTGGCCAGGTTAGATCCTGCCATGAGTGGATGCAGAGGATGAGAGAGAAGGCACTGGAATCTGACACTTCGCCCTTCTATCAATGTAGTAAAGAGTGAAATTATCTTTCTGAATTTTATTAGCCTTTGAATAGCGCTCACGAAATATCTGTTTAGCATAGTTCACCATAGCTGTTGGAACTGGGGAGAAAAATAGCTTCCGTAAAAGGTAGCATTAAAGTTTAGGCTTCAAAACAAACAAACTGGTACTGAGACTGGCATCATCACCTGGTACAATTTCACTTGTAACATACGCATTGCAATGCCTCAACTGTATGTTAAATTCAAAATTTCACCTCAGATTTCAAAACTGCACTTTTACTACACCACTACGTGTTGTTTCTTAGTCTGTAAGCTGTTTGTGTTCAGTCACATTTGAATTTTGCTAATAAAAAACTCCAGATGCACACGGTCACGTGACAAATCCTAAGCATACACTGCTAAACTACTAATATATACTCTTTGATGAATTTCAGGACGGGTTTCTAATTTTTTTCTGCTGTTTGTACACGTATATGTAGATGAAGCTGTGTTTTCACAATGCCGCTCTTACAATTGAGAAATACGTTGTTCATTTTTCCTCTGGCCAAGAATACAGCTTCCATTAAATCTACTTCTATTGCCTTATGGGTTAGGTATCTGAGCAATAAATAAGCAGGCAACACAGCACATTCCTTACCCTCAGATCAATGACTCTGTTGTCCAGTCTTGTATCTTGGTTTACAGTAGCTCTTCCATCCTGAACAATTGTTCAAAAATACAGAATTAATATATACGACTAAAAAAAAAAAAATCAATAGAGAAATATACCCTTTGGTTAAAATGAAGAGTTACTTCCAAATTTAGAGAATTTCTAGAACAGCCTGAAGAACATATAGCAAATTACCAGTATGAGCAAAGTTTAAGATACATAACTTTTCCCAGTGGTCAGAGGCACAAACCAGCTACGAGGATCCAGAAGAGCTGACATACACACAAGCATGTTTCAGAGTCTGCAAATTACTTGGTTCTGACTTTCTACTGCAGTTCAACAAGCACATAGAAGTTTTTAACAAATGCTAGACAAAAAGTAAAATGTAAGCCTACCAACAAGCCAAAACCACTGCAGTAAGGAAGTTGCCAATATTTCATGCTTTTATTCAATTAGAAATACAATAAAAGGTATTTGAGGATGCAAAATTTTCACCTCCTCTCCTTCCACTTCTGGCCGAACAGCATCATCCAGCTGTAAGGGCAGTCGGGGTTCAGCCAAACTGATCACATAGATCTGAAAGTGAGATAGGAACAGAAATAGCATGACACTCAGCTCAAAAGGAGGTGTGATTTACAAAAGGATATTTCTGGCATAGACATGAAGCAATGTTTTGCATAGACTGTTAGCTGGAAGACTGTGATTTTATTCAAATAGTCAAGATCTGTGGTTGCAGTGTCATGACAATGCTGGAAGTGCTTAGTTCTGATTTTCCTTTTGAAAGATTAAAAAATGTTTTTGTTTTTCTATTTTTTTTTTTGAGAAGTGGAGTAGCATTGAGTTGAGCAAGCACATTAAAGGACGCACTGCCTGAGGGACAAGCCTATCGTCATGATTGCCAGGTCGGAAACTACTAGATTTCACAATCTTAGATTCTGATTCCAGCGGGATCATCTCAGTCTTCCTGCTGTTACTGTACAGTTATACTTATCCTGTGATTATGTCTGAAAGAATCATTTCAGACTGAAAATTTATGAGAGCGCTAAAATACCGTCAAAGACACCTTGCCTTACAGTATAATATGTGCAGTCAATTTTGTGTCCTTTCAGAAAAATCAAGGATATGACATATCTGCCCATATATTAAAACATATTTATTTGAAACCTGCAGACTTTCCCCAACATTGTTAGCTAAAATTTACCTTACTACAACAGCTTCAATGGCTACATCTGGCCATTGTGCTCTACTATCGAAATGACCGTGTTTCACCAGTATTGTAGGCCCGCAGTTTGTGAAGCGGCTGAAAACCTTCCAAAGCAAAGGATATTACCTAAAGGTTTAAATATGCATTCTACTTAAACAAATTATAAAGTTGCACTTCCTCCAGCCTTACAGTACAAGCTATGGGGATTTTAGATTTCAAGAGCTTCCACAGCGTTAAGTCAGTGCTTTATTTTTGCTGAGTGTGATGTATTCCGTTCCATTGTACTAAGGGGAAGATTGTACCTTTGTGATAAAGAAACTTCTGACTTATATGTAAGAGACAGATTTTTTTTATGACAGTATCTGCTGGAGGTAAGAATCAGAACTAGAATTACAAGCATTCATAGCCAAGTTATTCTAGTGAGATACTATTTTACTTGTTATTACATTTCAAATGGCAGATAGAAATTGGAAATTAAAAAAAAATAAAATAAAATCTCTTAAACAGGATTGTTTTATGCTTATGTATCACACACTGAAATTGGTAGTTTAAAGCAGTTTATTTCTCTGGTTTTGGATCGCTTACTGATCAAGTATTTGACAAACTTTATACAGATAGATGGAAAAGATAGAAAGTCTCTCAAACAATTAACCCAGTGATCCATTTGCTCAAAAAATTACCCTTTGAACATGCAGCTCAACATCTTGCTGAGTACAGCCTCCAATTTTCTGATATGCTTTCCTCACAACGCCTTCTACGTCCACAATGCTCTCTTTGTTGATGCTGTCAATAAAGATAGTCAGCTTACTAAATTTCATTGCACGCTGCACCAGGCTGAGTATCTAGTACTAGGAAGTACAAGTACTGTATGGACTGCTGGAATAATAAAACAGTGTTAAGGATTTAGGTAAAGTTGTTATTTATTATATATAATGACTGAGTTAATAAAGGACTTTGCTAAAATATTCCCAGCTGCAATAAATTGAAACTGGAGGGGACGACAAGAGAGGGAAAGAATTATAAAGCTTAGTGCCCACTCACTCACTGCATGTGTATACGTGAATTGACAAGTTGCATACTTCTTTTCCTAGACCATATACACTCATGTATGTGTCAGCTGATGCAGTTATCTGAAAGATGTGCCTTCAGCAGCAGAACAACAAACTGAAGGGAAGTCCTAGAGCTGGAGGGGAATATCAAAACTGATTGAGCTTGTTTAAACTACATGACTTGTTACTGAAAGATGCAAGATGCTTTTAAGTCATTTCTCTATGACAGAGGACATCTTAATTGCTCTCCGCTAACAGTCATTAATAGTACATTAAAACCCTATAATCTCTTGAATGTCTTCCAACAATATGATATAAAGTATACGTGTTTACAAGCAAACAATAAAGCATGATTGTTATAAGCAAACAATAACAAAAGCCTCAAGACTGACAGGTGAGAAAATAATTTGTATGAACGGTTTCTGTTTAGGTATTGACTTTAAAGTAGTAATTCCATACAGATAATTTCATCTCCACTGAAAATATATTTTCACTTTGTGATTTGTGATTTCAATATCAGTATTGTAGCTTTGCCGCCTTGCAAAAGGAAAGATATCAGAAAAGATTTTTTCCTCTTTATAAAAAGTAGCTATTACAATTAACTTTATTTTGCACTTCTCAGGCATTCTTTAAAAGATCTGAAAGAACTTTACGTCTATCCCTTGACCACAAAACCCCTTAGAAAACAGGAAAGCAGCAGGCTCACAACTCAACTGCAAAAAGAAAGAGGTGACCAAAGATTTAGACAGACAAGCTGGCCACTACTGATCTTGATAAAGCAATTAGTTTCTTCATGTTTACAAGGTTAGCTTCTTTGTATGAGACAGCTCCCCCAGCCCCAAACGAGCAAAACTCAAACTCTTTCCATAGACCTCAGTTAAAGGGCAGTGAGATAAATATTTAAATGCAGAGGACTGAGGGGCAGTAACCCTTAAGTGAGGGGAAGAAAAGACAGTGTGCAAACAGAGCACAAGCTGCTGCTGCTGCTGGCAACTCTAGGCCTGATCAGTTACATCTGTGTTAGTTCACCTAGTGTTGCCCAGTATAAACCAGTATAAGAGCTGGGAACAAAATCTGGATAGTCTAGCTCCAGGTCTTTTGGTACAGTAAAACCACAGGAGAAACTCATTAGGATTGAGAAGCTTCTCTTCAGAAACACCTATGTTTGGAATTAAACATTCTCTCACATTTTGTATGTCAGATTTCTCCGGCTAAATAATGACATTTATCTTTTTAGTTGATGGGGAAATGTATACTCATCTCTAAGAAAGCGTGTCTGGTGTGATCCAGAAGCTGAGATACAATCCATTAAACATTGCAGAGTATAACTACTTGCTCGCTCTGCTTTTCCACTCTCCTTGAAGCATCCATACCAGCCCTATGAGAAGCTAGACAGACCTTTGGTCTAACCTAGCACAGACTGTTTATGTTATAAAGCTGAGTTCAGATTTAAGTTACCCAATAGAATTTTTGAATAAAAATGATCAATTTTAAGAAAAAAAGCTATTTTAGTAACAGATTCATAAAGCTCAACCATTTAAAAATTTCTTTTTTATAGCAGACTGCTCCATTATATTGTAACATTCCTTCCAAAAAAATCAAGACTATAATTACTAAAATGTCCATCAGATGCCTTATGTCCCTCTTAATTATCTCTCTGTCTGTTAGCCAAGATGTTCTCCTTTAACCACAGGATTGCATTATTGCAGTCTGTATGACAACATCTTTCATCAGCAGCTTCATGTTGCAAGCTGAACCCCACATGGGCCTCTCTAAGTGAATCACAATCAATATTTCCTTGATCAAAAGTATGAAGAACAAAAAAAAAAAAAAAGATTATTTACCTTAAACAGAAAATGTTTTAACTAATGGAAGCACCCCTACTCATTCAAACAATATTTTCTTTGTTTTTTCCTCAAGGTTGTCTTCTGTAAGAGACTGCATAAATTAGAATATTAATGCTTCCTTATTAAATTATAAAAATATTAAATAATTGCCATAAAACATAAGAACCAATGATCCTTTATCTGAACGTTAGTAAAAACTCAAGGCAATACAGTTTACTTTGGAAAAAATGATTCACTTTGTAAATAGTTGAACGTATAAACATTGTTTATTCTAACTCAGTAACAAAAATTGTAATATTATTGTCTGCACAAATACAATATGTATCCATTAAGCCCTCTGATCCAAATTTAGCAGGAAAGTTAACTGACATTCATATACACAAAGGCCAGAGAAACACCTAATCTTATTCTCTTCAAGGTAAAAATCATCTGTTTCCTGTAGCAACCTTCTAACAACCTGGAAGAGCTAGAATATCTTCTGGGAGAAAAATCCTGTCTTCCTTCAGAGTTCAAATAACCAGATCCACTACCTACCTTTAAGCATTTTCATTGTAAAAAAATTTATTTTTTCCCTTCTGAATTTATCCAGCTTCACCATCTGTTCATTGCATCGTGTCATACTTCTGTATCTGCTAAATAAAGAACCCGCCACTGACAGAATGCCTTCTTGCATAAGTGCTATCAGATTAAATCACTTACTAATTTCTCTCGAATAAAATAAGACAGATGTCTTTAGTTTTACAGGAAGATCCTGACAGCATGTCGTTTAATCTTGTAACTTCATCATCGACTTTTTGTCAACTTGAAAATACATATTTTGATACCAAGACAACAGAAGGGGAGAAAACATTCTGGAAATGGTCTCATCACCGGCTTATATTATACTAATGGCATTTTCTTACTCTTTTTCAAAGCTCAAGAGAGCTCTTAGCACAGCACGTAAGAGAACTGCATGAAATCCTAAATTGGTTATGTATCATGATCTCAAATTTCTAATTACTACTTTCCTGGATATTAATGCTGAACCTACATAAGACCTGTACTAATGGTCACAAAGGTACAAGTTCACATTGAAGAGCATCAAAGTGATCATTCCAAATGAGTCCTGTTATTACGCACCGTGGGACAGTAATCTGGCTAAACAGTTTACCATACCAATATCTGTGTCATCTGCAAACATAACAGCTGTGATTTGACATTTTCTTCCAGATGACCAAAATAAAAATTAAAAATTAAACAGAAGTGGGTCAAGAAAATATTTCTGCAATATCCCACAGCAACAGCTTCAGCAGACAAGTATTCCCCATTTTCAAGAAGCGCTAGATCATTTTTAATACTTTTAATGCGCTTTGTTATTGTAAGAAGCCTTGTGAAAGAAAGTACCGAATATAACAAAGAAAATCTCAAACATTTTCTGCTTAAGCAGACAAAAATAAGAAGATGGAAAATTAAAGTTCTACACAGAGCTTTGATCATGCCTCTTGAGTTTTTATAAGATTACTCATTTATTTAGCTGATTAACTACTGCATCTTTTTCTACATTGTAATGTACTTTCATACAGGTTTATCCATCATTTTGTATGGTTTATCTGTTTTCAGAATTTTTAATTCTCCTGCCTAGAGAGCAACAAAGTTACTTCCTGACTGAGAGGACATTGTTTGAGTAGCTAAATTAAAATTTGGCAACGCGCTCCTCCAAAATCATATTACATCACTATTTGTGGAACAAACTCAGTAGCAGGGAACCGCCCAACCCTGGTGCGAAAAAAAAAAAGAGAGAAAGAGAGAGAGAGAAAGAAAACCAGAGCTGACCAAACCCAATCCTTTCTGAAAAAAAATAGGTCAATAAGTTACTAATTTCACCGCTTGGCACTTTTTTTTTTGCGTTAAAGAGACAATTAACACCTTTCCCTGCACCCCTTGCAGGACTCATCTGAAAATTTTTTTGATGAAAGACATGAGAAGAACTCTGTAACTGCCAATGGCACTATGGCACTGTGTTGCTTTTCATAGTTCAACCAGAACTTTCATAGTTAAAGTTACAGAAATCTCTCTCTTTTTTTTTTTTTTTAAAGTGAAATAAGCTAGTGACAAGTATCTCTCACTAAAAACAAGTCACCATTCTTATGATTATAGAGATAATCAGCCTAGGAATACATTCACAGTAGGTTAATGTTGCTAGACCACAAGGTTATGAAAGTTCTCAGTTTCCATGTGACAATATCAAGAAGAGGAACTGGTCTTTTCATTATTTATGAAAATTTGTACCAAAAAATGCTCATGATTTAACCAGCCCTTACACTACCTTAAGCTCTCCTTCAAAAATGAAGTTTCAGCATTTCACAAGCTATTTAAAAAAAAGTTCTGGATCCAGGTCCTGAGAAGAGATTTCAGTATCAAAATATGTGAAAGTAGCACACAAACGCTGAAGTTTATACTACTGCCAGCAAAAGAGTTTAGTTTATACATTTAATTGACATGTAAGGTATTTAACTCAACTATGTTCCTCAATAATGTGACTTCCTCACTTAATGTGTAGGAAAAAAAGAGGAGATGATAAGAAAAGACATTCAGAAAGGCAGAGAAACAGTATAGTTATTTTTGGACATCTATGACCAGCCTGATCTGCTAGTAACAACAATAGTGGCATCATTCCACAGCACATGAAAACTAGCAGGAAAGTGACTAAAGACAAGGCACGTCTGCTGTTGTGCTTCAGATGTTACTCAGGTGGTGACCACAAACGCGCTTGGAAGTTAGGAACAGCAGCCTCTGAGGGACAAGAGGCAGCTGCAATGAAGGCATGAAACTGAATTGTAGAAAAAGATAAAACAAAATAATGGAAAACAGTGACAACACGGGAGGAAATTGTTAAAATAGGTTTGTGGGTGGGAAGAAATTGTGAGAAGATGATTGCACTACAAGATTGTAACTCAAATCTCAAACCTGGTGTTTTTAAAAAAAAAAAAAAAAAAAAAAAGGCCGAAACAGGAAATGTTCTATCATTCAAAGCTCACAATGGTCAGTATCCTTTTCAGAAGCACAAATAATGAGTCAAACATACATGCTATAAATGAGAGGCTGTAGCATCAAGAATTACCCTGAAAATACTCCTGCAAAAAAGAACAGAATGAAAAATCAAAATGTAGTATAAACATTGTGAACGTCGTTACTCACAGGAAAGCAGATCTGTGATATCAAAAAAAGCAGGGGAGATGAAAGCAAAGTGGAAAGAAACTAAGGATGAGGTTGCATCTGATTTAACAACTGACTGCTACCAGAACAGAAAGGAGCTTTGCCCTCTCCTCTTTCCAGATATCTTTTCCCACCTTTTACCACTTTCTGCTATCTCTGGAACTGCATGATTTAGTTTAAATCACTAACCTGACAGAGAACTAACCCAGCAAAAAAAAAAAAAAAAAGATGAGTTGAGAAAAGGAGATGAACTCTTACAAGTGCCAGAGTCAGCACACGGAAGAAAAGAGCAGGATCAGCTTCCCTCTCATGACACCATGGAGCTCAGCTGCTCATGAAACAGAAACATAAGACACTTAGTTATGGGGGGAGCAAATACGAAGCAATACCGAAAAAGCGAGATGTTTGAGAGATCTGGTGAATAGGAGACTGGGCATCACAACCAGAAGAGTTGATTCACGGTTCTTTAGCATGAATTAAGTCAAGAGAGTGGAGGTAGACTGTTAGTAGGGTAGAAGGAGAGGAAGTAGGGAAAAAAGAGATAGTGTACTTAATTCTTTTCAAAGATACCCTTTAAGTGCTGGAGAGAACAAACTATTTCACGAAGAAACAGAACACTTCATTTTGGCTCATAAACACCTGTAAACAACATGCCTCACACTGGCACTGCCAACACTAAGCACCACCAAACAACAAACACTGCTGGTTCTGTTCTCCCATTGCCTTGAACCCCATCAGCAGCAGCATTATCCTAACCTTCGTAACTTGGCTTCTGGAAGTCTATACTTTAATGAATTCCTCCTTTCCCTGACATATTGAAGGTTGAAGGCCCTAGCACTTTTACAGCTAATTAGGAGGGGCTCCCTTCCCAGGCACGAGAGCAGTGCCAAGAACTACACAGAAGCAAGTGAAGTGCCACATGTTAACCATATTCTTGCGCTGAATTGACCCACATTTCTGTTTGTGAACAACAATAGTTAAAAACCCTACGTGATTAAAAACCTCTATTATAAAAACACCTTTGTTACGCAAGCATATTTAGTACTGGACAAACGAAAAGCACAATCATTTCTGAGGTAAGAAGGCAGGGGAAGGTATCTTTTTAGCTTTGAGAATAAAAAAACCCAAATAATTAAATTTAAATTGCTGCAAGAAACATTTTCCTTAATTGGTAGGTCTAACTATTACCCCCAATTAAAAAAAAAATCTTTAAAAGCAGCTTAAAATCCCCCAAATTGTAGTGCCAAACATAAGATGTAAATAAGATTAACTTGGTGCATAGAAGCAACTCTTCAATTTCTTCAACTCAGTAAGCCATTTGCCATATATGTAGCTTCTTCACACCAGTTCTTCTATGAATAGATTTGTGGTGTGGTAATATGTTTTATAGTGAGAAAAACCCTAAACATGCGCGTGCACACACACACACAGACATCACACACAACATAAAGTGTCCCACTATGCTTAGCTTGCCAGACTTTTTGTTACAGTTTGAAAGTAAGCCATGTCAGTGGCAACAGAATGCTGCTTCAGCAGTTCAGAATGAATTTCAAGCCTGTTCTCTATTTTATCTTTTGTAAGTGTAATGTATTCAACGCAATAGTGAACTGACAATTTAAATAACTACATTTTAAAACAAACGAAGCATTGATGTTAATGTGTGAAAATGGTCCCAACCCCTGGGAGTCCTGGTTCCCACCATTGTTTACTCTGACAACAGGATATAATTGCTTACTTACTTGGCAGCAAACTTTACCATCTGCTTGCTTGCATGCTGTCCCACAGCCACAAGAGCCTGGACATTAAACTGCTGCTGACGCAGGACTAAGAAACACTGCTTCCCTGAATACAAAGAAAAACAACGCAGGTGTATTAAGGACAAGTTACTCGAGGTCTTTGTGAATGAGAAAAATGCTTTACTACTTTCATATTAAGCTTACTCTGCGTGTGCGTGTGTGTGTGTGTGTGTGTGTGTATGTGTAAATAGTTACGTCTAACTAGATTCAGCTCTGTCTGTACACATACGCATCAAACCTTGAGATAAATAAAATGATTTTGGCTTACATCTATATGTGGGTGAACATACATTTTCTATAAGTAACAATATGCCTTATAAGAGAAGTAATATCTAGACAGGACTGATAACTAGAATTGATTCAGCTCTTCTTCAATGCCAGAAGTGCATATGTAATTCACATTTTCCCTTGCTGCTTTGCTCACTTTCATACTACAAGGAAGACAAACAGGCTTCTCAGCTCTATATTACTTTAAAAGAAGGGTTTTTTCCTCTTCCAAAATGCACTACTACAATTAAAGCTGTAGGGTTGATTTGATAAAGCTACTCTGAGTGAAATAGGCTTGATTTTGCACCACAGGGACTAAACCAACAATGTTCATTCTATAATACACCATACATTCTGAATGAAGGGGAGCAAAAGAAGTATTGATTCTGGTAAATGGCAAGAACCTGAAAGACTCAAGTAAAAATTCCTGCAAGAGCAATTTATTCCCGAACAGCTTAGGGAAAAATAAGTTAATAGCAATTTGCAAAGAGTATGATGCAGTCTGAGTTTTAAAATACTTTAAACAGACTAAAATGAGCTTTGTTGACTTGGAAAGATGTATCTGTGTAATGACAGTTACAACCCTTTTATAGTTCTCCTCACATCTCTAACACAAATTTCTTAGCTTAAATTTAAGAAAACTGCCTCTTCCTCAAAGAGGAAACATAAACAAACACTCCACTGTTGAACTAGTATCTGACAAAACGCATCAATACCCTTTACATTCCAAGTTTTGACTCATATTGTTATAATAATATGTCAATTAAAACAGTGAGAACAGGGAGAAGCCAGAAGCTTTGTTACAAAGTAGCCATTTCCCAGTTATTGCTGACTTATGCCGCAGAACATTAAAACCAACATATCTCTAACTTGCACAGCGAAACCAAAACGCCAGTTGCACTTTTCATCTGCAGTCATGTAGGTTACAATTCCTGACACAACTGCAGATAATTTAAATAGCATCAGAAGACAGCTGTAGATCGTTTGACATACAATCTGTTGGAAATCAAGGCAAACATAAAACCAGCACACAATACTGTTAAAAAAAAAAACATTATAATGGTTGGAAGTGACTGACTTCTTGTCCTATGACCTTGGTTTCAGAAATGCTACACAATTTTCAGAAAACAGACCACAACTATTTCCATATTCCAGGGATTACAGAATCGAAGTAAAGAAACTACATATGGCACGAATTTACAAACATTAAGCTACAGATTTAAATGAGAAAAGAGCAGGCTTCAGAAATTAAATAGAGCCTGTAACCATAAATACCTGTGTTTCAGGTTTACAGTCCACAAACTAACGATACATAAAAATAAAGTACATTTTTTCCATGGGACACAATATGGTAAGTTTCTTTGGGTAAGTGAGGCCTTTCTCACACCTTTCAAATCGCAGTGTTTCTTATTTACAAGATAAGTGTTTCCTAAATACAATATTTTTCCCCTACGATTTCCGTTACAAACACTGTAACAAAATATGATAGAGGGTCCACAGTGTTGTATTAGGGATTCAAATGAAAAATAACAGTTGAAGACATCCGGAATGTCACTGAATTAGTAAATATTTAAGGAGAGGAGAGTGAAAGAAATGGAAGGACTTGCTATCACGCAAATTAGAAGCAAAAGTCTGCAAAGTAAAGTTTTACTTAAACCAAAACGTTAGAAGTCTGATCAATATCTGCATTATAAAAGGACTCAAAATATTTTTGTCATGAGTAACACTAGTCGTATTTATGAGGAAAGAGGCTGTTTTGTAGAACATAAAAACCATTTCTAATCACACAGAAGATAAGTGATCAAACAAACCTTACTGATAGGGAATAGTTAAAACAGTTACAGTTACACAAAGTTACACAGTTACAAAGACTGTAGGAGGAAACGGAACTTTTCCCAAGGAAGCCCAATGTATGTGAAATAAGCTATCAAAAAGGCAACCCATAATCAAATCTAGTTCACGATTAGATGCTTTTCCAGATGAAGCAATGGAAAAAAGGAAACATCACAGTGAAAGGAAAAAAAGGAAAAAAAAAAAAACAAACAGGATTACTGTTCTCCGCCTGTTTTGAGATCTTTTCAGATGCATTTTTTTAAAGTTAAAAGTGTTAAGACCAACTTCAATTACCTATATTCAACAAAAGCAAACTATTCTAAGTTTCCATAAAACAAATAAACATTGTATCCTATAAGAAGTCCTAAAAAGATTAAAAGCTTTAAAAGAAATATGGTTAAAAAAGCCTGATTCTGTCTAATGCAAGGGACTTTTAGTCACTGAATAAATAAGAGAATACACCACACATGCGATTCTTTCAAAAGTAAGGAAAGAATCAAATAGGAATATATATCTGTTCCTGGATAGAAGTACCAAATGACACAAGATCTTATGAGAGAAAAAGATGTAGAGAAGGAATTCCCACAGACAGTGAGAAGTTTTGGTCATATAATTTTTTTTTTTTAACCAAAAAATTTGCACCCATCAAATAAAAACAAATTCAGGCCTAATATACTGCCTAGGACCTAACCGCCTGGCAGAACCCAGACTGATCTCCCAACTGCTGTTCAACGATGGACCTGATCAGTTGCTTAGGCTGGCTTTAAAATGAGGCCAGAAATAGCATTTATTTAATCTATGATAAAAAACACAGGGCCCCAAGCACTTTAGTTTTAAGTAGAACTCCCAGAAATTCCCAACACCCCATTCTTTACACATCCTTCAGTTAATTTCCATCAGGCTTCATGAGTGGCTTACTATATGAGACAGCTGGATTCTGCAGTTGCTCCCATTCATTTTTCTGGTTTATTGGTCAGAATCAGATAGGGTTAAATAAAGGATATGTTGGTTATTTAGAAGCAAATATGAGAAAAAATAAAGCTACTTTTTTTGCAAGATTTTCCTCTTTCCTGCAAGACTTTCCTTTCCATAACGGTAGGAACAGCGCCACAATGTGTGTGGGAAAGACTAATATTACATCTTACTCTCAAACATTTGCTTTTCGTATTAGATTCTTCCCCCCAAAGCTTAAGTAAACAAGCATACAAAACTTAGAGCAGTCCCTGACTGTCAGATTTTGCTTTGTCAGACCAAGAAGGGACAAGAGGCGCAATCAGTAAATTGAGAACACTTCATGAGAAACCTATAATCAATTCCTGTTCTTTTATTCTTCAGGTTATATATTAAGAGTTTTGAAAATAACCATTGTTATTTCATTAAAAATAATGGTCTCTCCTGAGGTCAAAGTGAAGGGTGAGAAATAGTAGCTTATGGTTAAGTGCTTAATATTGCCATGTTATTTATGTTATTCTGATGGAAGTACATGCATATATCATGCAGGAGGTTTTACATAAATGCAATAAGGAGGCAATAATAAACAACCATTGAACTTTGCGTTTTGTTTTAACGGTCTGCAGTAAGATACCTCTCTTCCATTTTAATGTTTAACCTACTAAATTCTATCTATAGTCTGAATTTACTTTTACAACTGTAAAAAAAAGAAAACGATATAAGGATTCTCTTATTTATGTACTAATAGTAGCAGTTACATTAAATACAGTGTCACCTGTTTGAGCAGCTCAAAGTTGTTAATAATGACTGAGGCTTTCACAGCTTTTGGGTTTGAACAATTCCTGTATACAGGAAAAAAGAATGACTACCATGTAAGAAACACACTACAGAACGAGGTAGAAAAATCACACATCTCCCTAAATTTAAAAAATTCTAACAGAAATTGAAATATGTATTATATGTAAATATTTAGATCCAGCTCCTTTTTTAATTGACAGCAGTACAGACATTCATTAAGAAGGACTACAGATATCCATTAAAGAAGGACTTTCATATAAAAATAAAACAGATTTATTTCTCCTTTTGAGGCTATCTATGAAAATATTCTGTACTGGATTTTCAGCCACAATTTGCATTATTCACATTTCTAAGATTACTGTTAAGCTTCATTTGTAAAGATCATTTCTTTATGCTCTTTTCTTTCAAGTCTTGGGAAGACAATGTACTTATGTCGCACTACAGAACAGCTAAACATAACTGGAAATCAGTACAACGGTTGTCAGCATCTGATGTCAACTGAAAAGGCCAAAGCCTATTTAGGTTTGCATATGGAAAACTGATCTCCAGAGAGAACTTCTGATTCCAGTGAAGAAATAAGGCTGTCAGGGAGCCAAGTATGACAGTCCACAATATTCAGAAACTATAAAAGGCTTTTTGCTTTGTTTCGTTTAAGATGATGTTTCTTATTTTAAGTTCAAATGAAATAATCAAATACTGACGACTGAAAGTAAAATGCTCTAAAATTTTAACACAGATTGTTGTCTCCTATAGAAAAGAAGATATAATGAAACTATTCCTATGTAGGAGAATAAATAGGGCCTGTCCAACAACCGATACATTTACAATAAATGTATGTTTTCCTTAGAAGCTCACTTAATCTTAGAACTACATTTTATCTCATGCCTGTAAAATCCAAAGCAGAATGACCAGAATTTTTTAATTACTATTATTTACAAGTGTCCACACACTATTTAGCAATGCGATAACAATGGAAGTCACTTATAGTGGAACGTAACAGTAATACCTGATCTCCTGCTCAGCTGAACACAAAATTTCCTTTTCCCCTGTTTAGAAAAGAGGAGTGGAAGATAGAGAAAATAACCAGTTCAAGTGAGCGCTTTGAGTAACTAGATGACAAAGTTTTCTTGTATGCAAGATGGAATTAATGGAAAGTAATTGCTTTGCTTCTTCTTACTAAAAATACACGTTCATTTATATCAACAAAATGAGAAAATAAAAATCAAAATGCCGGAGGTATCTCACCTTTAGCTCTGCTTGTATGAATTCTGCCACGAACCCAAACCAATTCATCGGCTCTCTCCACTGTTAAGTCTTTTATTCGAATCAAAACTCGATCTGCATCACAGAAATAAAATGTATTTAAGAACGCTTTTGTTTTTTTTGAAGTAACCAAAAACATTTTTCACTTTAAACTCACATACTACATTTTCTATTATTGCTAAAATTTATAATAAATCCAAGGCATTATTTTGTGTATCTACCGTACGGTGGATGTTAACACTGAAAACATAGAAGATCACATTTCCTCTCTCAGTGAATTGTACTTGATCAAGTAATTTTAAATTGTTTCAGGCTTACTCTTTGACTTATATTGCAGGGTCAAACTGCACTAAAACAAAAGCAAGACTTACTGTAGTTCACGGACGGCAGAGCCCAACACGACTACACTATTTCTGATAGGACTTCACAGTGCTGCACTGCATCATCTGTGCCTATCGGTCTGGATTTTTGCTAGCTCAGGGATGTATGCACCACTCCACTGGCTGGTGTGGAAGTTGGCACGTTGAAAACAGCAAAACAAAGGCCTTAGTCTGTTCTCTGTATATACATCAGTAGGGAGAACATCAGAGTAGAATAATTATTATTTAAATAAAGAAGAGAAAGAAATTATGCATAGATAAGCATTAGAAATTAAAAGAAGAATTCATTTTGACCGAAGCAATGACATTTTGGAGCAACATCTCAGAAGGAATATTAGTGTCTAAAACCAGTAAAACTTACTTTGTAGAGAGAATCTCTTTAATAACCTGATCAAGCACTACTGTGGTTGCCTGCAATGGCGGGAGACAGGATTCGTTACAAAGAATCTTTCAAATTCTATGTACCAAAGAAAGCTGGGATCTTTTAGATATCAAAGGGAATTGCATGGTCAGGAAAGGGCAGGAATTTGGATAGTAAAGGAACTAATGGTAACTACCAAGGAGAATTTTTTTTTTTTTTAATAAATCAGGAGTTTTTAAAAACTCCACAGTTCTAATAGCTATACTTACTCATTCAGACTTCATATGTGGTTAAAACCATTGCGCTCATTGTAAGAAAAAAAAAAAAATCTTCAAGGGAGATAATGTAATATAAACAAATTCACTGTCTCTGTCCTTCATAGAAGACTTATCCCTCGTTTCAATATAACATTTAATTTACTAAGAAACGCCACCACTTCCACTCTAGATCTCTCCTCTGGTCAGAACTTTCCCAAACTTTGCCCACTCCAGCTTACCATCTGCTATCCTGGACTCCATCCCTCTGTCACTGAATACCACTCACAGCTTGCCCTGAAATCCTATTATTCTGTACTGGGATTTAATTCAATTTCTAGATTTTTTTTTTTTAATTCACTTTATTTTATGCTCAGAGCAATGTAGCTATTTTTTTAAATACAGATCTCTAATCATATCTCATATGAAATTCTGCTAGCACGAACTCCATAGCTGACCTACAGTTTGTACGTTTTCTCCACAGAGAATTAGCATCTCCCTCACAGGCACACATCAAAATCAGAACAGAATGAAAGCGCACAGAGAAATGTGATAGGAAATCGCCTCAAATATATTCATAATTAAGAGTAAGAGAGCATATGTGTGTGCGCACGTGTATGACAGCGTGTGAATGTGTGTGCATGCGTTAGGGGAGGGAAGAAAGGGGAGTAAAGATGTTACCACTTGACAGCAACTTCTGATGTTCAGACTTCATCAGTTCTAAGCAAACATACAACCAGCACAAACCGTAAGCTTTAGTACTTCTAAGAATCTGTTATTTAGACAGTTAAAATTACCTCAATCAACTTTAAACTGTATTATTACAAACCTAAAACATTTTCCAGGCACAAGCATAAAGGCAGAACGAGGTGTTACCCTTTTTATGTATGCCTAGTGTTTCAGGCACCATCTGTATTAGATAAACGTTTAAAAAAAAATCTTCTAGATAACGGTCCATGTTTCATCAAGATGAAACAAAAAATTCTCATTGCAAAAATTTTTATATGGTATGAGTTATTAAAATCTATTTCACCTTCCGCAAGAAGGGTAACAAAACAAGTCTCTGGAAAGAGGCACAATGAAGTGATTTTTTTCCACAAGCAGACACAGCAATTTTTGTATCACTTTATCTCCCTCTTTTAACACTTCCCAAATCCAGTTTTCCTTCCTCTCAAATGCCAGTGGTTCCTGGTATTACCTACGCTTGCTAGTATAAGCAATCCTTTGTCACTCGTTCTCTTGTCCATGCAACATTTTGTAGCTAGAATCTTCCCTCTGTATTCTCACATACCATTTCACCTAGAAATCCTTTTGGTTCATTTCTGTCTTTCCCATGACAAAAATGAAGCTTCCTGTTCTCACCTTACAAGGTTCTCCTGCATAATTTTCAGACTATCTACTTGTTGCTCCACAAATGCAAGCTGTACTTACATCTTCTGTTTTCTTTTCTCTTCCTTCCACATAAATACCTACAGACATTTGGATACTGCAAAAATAAAAGATGTTTTAAATTATACTACAGTTGCAGTGAAGACAAGGTAACATGGATTTTATACAAAGATTAGCAGCTTGAGTTCAAACCAAGCACTCCCTAAGTCTGAATTTACATTTTCAGCCCCAATTCAATATCCATGTTATCTCATCTTCATTGCCATTTTGAATGACATTCTAGGGAAAACTGATGCTACATTTTTTCTTTTGTTTCCTTTGCATACAACACAACGTCTTCTATCCTTACCTTTCTTTCAGAACCCTAACCCTTTCTAAACATGAGGGGAGAGAACAAAAACTTCAAAACCCATGCGGGCAGTACAAGTCAAAAATCACATTTTTACCCCCGTGCCGAATCCCTGTCTGTCATATTAGCTTGTTTGCTAACTTCGTCTAACTTAGATCACAGCGTTTCAAAAGGTATGAGCAATATTTCTGTTGTTCTTGTAAAGTGCCAGCATCATCACCATGCTAGATAAATTTGAAAAAGAGAAGAAGTAGAAGCTAAGCTGAATAAAAAAATCTGAAAGCCAAAAGCAGTATAAGATTAAAGTAGCTTCCAGGGAGGGGAGATGAAAGTAATGGGACTGAACGGAGGAAAAGGGAATGGCAAATGGAGTTTTACTAGCAGTCATAGCCTAAAGCAGGCAGAAAGGACTGTAAAGACATGATGTAAGGGGAAGTGAGCACACCAGGCAGGGCAGCCAATATTAGCAGAAAAAAAAAAAGACTTCAGTGGGCCAAGAATGAAGGCACAGGTGTGTGTGAGATCAGTATAGCAGGGTGGAGTACCTATGAAAAAATTTTGTGAACAAATGAAGTTTTATTTGGCCTGGAGAGGAACGAGAATCTATGAGCACAGAGGAATGACAACAACTCTACCCCTTGGAAAGGGAGAACAATTTGTCCTGATCAGTCTGAGCTTCCCTCCCATGTCTGGCTAGTGTCCTCAGTACAGTTCAAGTACCACAGCAAACCTAAGAGCAACAGTGTTGAGGACGTCAATCCTGCTCCTACCCACAACTGTGCTGCCTGTACTGCCTGTTGGCTCCAATTACCAGATTGTATGGGGATCTGCGCATATCTTACAATTCATTATTCTTACCTAGAAATGGCACATACTCACATGAACTTCAGAAACAAACAAAATTAACACACTACAAACAGATGGGAGCACCCACATTTGGCCCCCCCCACCCTCAACAGCAGTTTCTCCAAGACAGTCAATCCAAGCAGAATACTCTGGGGAACAGCACATATATCCTGCTGATGCTAAGTGATGATTTCACTCCCCTGTGAGTCCTTTGGTAAGAGCTCTCCCTGGCAGTAAGTACTGAATCCTTAAAAAAGAGGGTATCTATCTACCTTGAGGAAGGGACTAGGCTGATCTTGGTTTTCTTTTTATTATAGGCTTTTTTTTTTTATTGTTACCTAATTTTGGTGTTCTGGGTAACCATCTCCTAAAAAACTAAACAGCAGGAATAGAAGTAGGTCCTGTCTTAAGCCCAATGGAAAAACTGCTCAACCTTGTCCATATATTGCCTGAAAATTTATTTTTATGAGGACTGATGGTAAAGGGGACAACAGAACACTCAGCCCTTTTCCTATCACTTCCTATAGCTTTCACCATTTGCTTTCTGCATATATGTTCCCCCCCTTCCAGTATTTTTGAGTGTTTCTTTTGAATATGAGACAGATGGCAGGGTTGGCTTCCCCCAAAAGAGTAGGAATAGGTCTACCATGTGAGCACAGTTTGGGGCTCTCACAGAGCGGCTTGCTATAGGGTGTGAAACTGGCACAGGGGTTATAGCTTGCAGAAAACCATAGTGAGGGAAGTGCCATCGCAGAAGTGTGCAGGGAGAGGAGATGAAACAGGGCAATCCTTCACACAACAATCAATACTGAAATTTAACTGGTCAGATGCTAACTTCAAGAAGTTAGCTGCTTCTCGTTATTTTACCTTCTAGGTTACGATTCCACAGCAACCTAAGCCAACATAACTTATGGACAGCTGTGTTCCTGCCTCCTCCAGCACTCCTCAGGCCTCTAGACAACTTTTTTTCATATTGCTAAGCTGGCTAAACAAGTCATTATTAGCAGTTCTGAAGCATGCTGAAATGGATCAGCAGAAGACCCAGCATGAGGCAGAAGCCAGCAGTTGAACAGACTTACGTTGTAATAGAACTTCATCTTCAGTTCCCTTTCTTCATAGCCAATACATATTTTACTCAATAATGATTCCTAATACAGTATCTAGTGACTTTCTCATCCTGCTATATTCTTGACATGATGATCCCCTTGAATTGGTTTCAACTTATGATTGCTTTTGTGGCTGCTCCTCTTCCTATATTCCCTCCTTAAGAGAGGTCAACCAAAACAATCATTTAGGGGAAAAAAAGTGTGTATGATAACAGATGATGTGCCTTTTTTTTTTTTTTTAACATTCCATTATGAAGAAGATACAAGAAGCCATTGTATTACCTTCTCTCATTCCACAATTTTACTATTTCATGCTTTAAAGAATACGAAGAACAGATTAGTACTTCTTAGCATGTTGGCCTGGGATGTAATTCTCTAGCTGACAAGTCTTTCCCAAATTCCAATTCCCCAATCCCTATAAAATTACTATTTCCTGAATTTACAATGATGTGAATAATGATAAAATCCACTCATAAACATTTATATAAGATATACTTACACACATAAATGCACACACACACACATATATACATATATAAAATTGATTTGATGCTCATATGTAACGAAGGCCACAGAAGCAGACAGATATCTTACTCAGAGAGAGTATTGTTGCAGCAAGCCATAGAAGAACTTGCTCCAAAAAAATAAAAACCCTGACATCCCAGGATTCAGTACTTTTAGTGTTAATCAGTCTTACTGGAATGGTATGGTACTTCATAAAAAATAATTTAATCCAAGGAAGTCAAGCCTGCAGTGGTGGACACAGACAAAAATTGCCAGTAATTTCAAAAGAAGAGATCTACGCTTACTTCAAGCTTATTTTAAGCTGACAAATTATTTTTCATCTTCATTGTGGTGGTGTATGAAGATTCAATACTAGGATACAGAGCAGTGTTTCGATTTATGACCTTAGAGGTCAATGCTAATACCTAGTAAGCTATTTAGTACATACATCTACTGCTTTTGGCTTCAGTTTTTCCCCTGCCCTATAATATATCTTAAAATCACATATATTGGAAAAGACCTATGGAGGTCTCTCGTGCTCCGTGTTCGGCTCCGTGCTGGAAGCAGGTTGCTCAGGGCCTTGTCCAGGCAAGGACAAAGATGGAGATTCCATAACCTCTCCGGGCCCAGTTCCAATATCTGACCACCCAATGCCATCCCGCAGCCTTCTCTTCTCCAGGCTGAACAAGCTGAGCTTACTCAGCTTCTCCTCAGAGATCCTGTGCTCCAGTCTCCTGACCTTTTTGGTAGCCCTCCACTAGACTTGCTCCAGAACGTCACTGCCTTTCTTGCACTGGAGAGTCCAAAACTGACACAGCTCTTCAGATGCAGTTTCGTGAACGCCAAATGTATTAAAATAAAGGGAAAGAATGCCAACAGGATTTCAATGAATGAAAAACAGTTCGGTAAATGATTTTTCAAATAAGTAATGAAGATGCCTAATACATAACTTCTTCTTTTCCTCTTTTTTTAAACTTTTAAAAAAAGTTTTTTTAACTGACCTGGTTTCTCTTGGGATTGTATCATTGATGACACTCCATATCTTTCCTTAGCATAATCCTAAAATGGAGGTGAGAAACATACAAGAATCACATATCAAAGAAATGCACACAAAAGCATGAATAAAATCATTACAGAATTAACTGGGGTAATGCAAAATAATGAAGTACATACATTAGGATCATTCCTTGGTTATTTATAACATATGCTGATAAATATATGTGACTTCTACATAGAAGTTAGTATGAATACTTATAAAGCACCTACTCCTGAAAATGTATTTAAATCCTACAGAAGAAGATCCATTGCTAAATATACCTTGTCTGTATTTGGCTGCACTGAGAAACCAGGCGGATCACATGCTGGTGTCACAGCCAAAGCAAGCCTCACAGGCAGCTAACAAAATCTATTAGGCAATATGCAGGGGGACAGAGCCTTTTTGGGAAATGGATCACAAATCTAAATATAGTGCCCCTCAAAAGTTCACTCATTTCTTAGAAAAAAAATACTTATTCCTTTTTATTCTGTTCAATATATGAACAGAAGGTCATTTTACATATTTTATTTGAGAGTCTGGGTTCCTGTGCTTTGGATGAGCAGTGACCCACGTGTCATCTTTAGGGAAGCGCAGAGTTCCTTACTAGCGGTGCATTTTTCACCTTTCAGCACAAAGCAACCTCGACCTTACAACAAAACGCACTGAAGGCCCATGATTAACATTTCCCTTCCGAAACAACACCGGCCTACGACTTTCCACGCCTACCCGCCCTCTCCGAGTATGGGACCCAAACGCCTGCCAGGCCCCACGGCAGCGGCCCGGTTCCGCAGGTGACGACTGGGGGGCAGGGGCGCAGGGACGGGCTCCAGCGGGGCCTCCTCCCCCGGCACACGCGGAGCTCCGACGCCGGAGGCGCCCAGGGGACCGGC